GCATGCACACGAAAGCTCATACCAAGAACTAACTTAGTTGGTCTTTAAGGTGCTACTGGAAGGAATTTTTTTGTTTTGAATATAATATTAATTATATTTCCCTTGACCACGAGTGATGGCAGATGACAGGCAAGCAGGTGCCAGGGGTGGGGGTGGCTTCATGGTTCCCCATCCTTCATAGTTGTCAACGTTTCTCTTTTTTAAAGGGAAATGCCCTTATTCCAAATAGGATTCCTCGCAAGAAAAGGGAAAAGTTGACAGCTATGCATCTTTGCCTTTGAGTCATGAAATAAAGATAATATCAAAGTCTTAAGACCAGTTCTACTGATTACCGGCAGTCACTAGCACCAAGCTTTATGTCCTTAAGGCTGATTAACACAGATTCCAGTACAAATCTTAGCAATTCTACAAGAGAATATCTTGCTCAAAGAACACTTTGTAAACATTAAGAAAATACAAACTTACTTCCAGACCTATGCGCAACCATAGTGGGTTATAGCATAAAAGCCAGTTGAGGATTTTCTGTCTTTCACCTGCAATGGACACAGAAGCAAAAGCAGGATAATATAAAAATCTGGAAAGGAGGTTACCTAAGAATATACCGAGAAATTGCTATTATCAAGCTGTGGATTGTTGATTATAGAACTGAAGGGCATAAAGAGACCTGTCCACATTCTTGTATACAATTTCCCACCACAGTTCAATTTTTCTACATATGTGTAGGAATATCTGGAACACAGCTAGATTCTTACCAATATCCTTCCAGAGATGTCTGTCCTTCCGAATTAACAAGTGTTTTGATTCAATTTCAATCTCCAGCCTTTTTATTGCTTTAACCATCTCGTTTGATGTAAATAAACGGCAAGCTGAGCGACGAAGTTTGTTCAGCTTGCACCGAGCTGTATAAGCTCTTAGGGATACTTCTTCTTTAGTTGGTGCTCTAGAACACTTGGTTTATGAGACTCGGTTCCCAAGATAACGGACACCGCATTGACTGGAGAGAAAACAGTTGCAAGTGTTAAAATCTACTTGGTATTATAACTTTTGTTGTAATATGTTTGTAATTTTTTTTTGATTTCATTGAGATAAAGAACTGTACAACTTTTAGAAGACATCTGAAGGCAGCCCTGCATCGATAGGTTTTTAATGCTTGATGTTTTATTATGTTTTAATACACAGTGGTACCTCGGGTTACATACGCTTCAGGTTACATACTCCCCTAACCAGAAATAGTGCTTCAGGTTAAGAACTTTGCTTCAGGATGAGAACAGAAATCGTGCTCCGGCGGTGCAGCAGCAGCAGGAGGCCCCATTAGCTAAAGTGGTGCTTCAGGTTAAGAACAGTTTCAGGTTAAGTACAGACCTCCGGAACGAATTAAGTACTTAACCCGAGATACCACTGTAGGCTGTAAGTCGCCCAGAGTGGCTGATGAAACAGAGCCAATAATATAATAATAACCTTTTTGTAAACCATTTTGAGGGTTGTTGGGTTTTTGTTTTTTTTTACAATTGAGCGATGTATAAATTTTATGAAATAATTAAATATAGCCTCCTTCCACAAAGTGCAGTTTATTTCACTGGCTTGAATCAACTGGATCAAAATACTCATAGAAGCACAATGTTTTGATTGGGTGGGAAAGCTGAATTAATGGATTGTTCTTCCTTGCTGTAGGAAACTGGGCTTACTGGCCTCTTGACCCTCTGCCACCTATAATGCTATGATAATATTTGCAATCTTTGAAGAGAGTTCACACAACTTTACCCAGTGTGCATCCAGGATTATACAAGCTCAAAGGAAAGGGTGCATTTATAAGTCATGGTAAACCACAGCTAAAGGTCTACACTGAACATGCAGATCACTCACTCACACTTCGCTACTGCCCACTAACAAGGACAGGAGCAACATACCAAGATTCTTGGCTAAGGGTTTCACACAAACTAGTGATTATGGCTTGAAGCAGAACTAGCCAGTATTGGAAAGCCAAGAATGAACTTCCTTTAGTTGTTGCTAGCGGATGAGAGCAATGACCTTCCGTGCCAACTCTGAAACACTTGCTAAAAACTTCTATTCTGCCAGGTCTATGAAGGCAATTAAAGTGTATCTCACCCACAATGATCTATTGATGTTTGTTTTAAATTTCTTTTTGCTTTTAATTTGTTTTTAACTTTTTATGCTATTGTTTAGTTTTGTTTTTATATTGTTGTAAACCGCTGTGATATATTCATGATACAGCGGTATATAAATATTATTTTATAATAAAGCAAGAAATGCTCCAATATGCTAACAATGGAAGCACGCAAAAGCAAGTGGCACTTTTTCGGCTGCACAACCAATTTTGTAAACTGAGTGAGATGACTGCTGGGCAGAAGAGGCTGCAGATCTGCAGCATTAGGAACTAATGGGTTTAAAGCTTTCCAAAAAAGCAACACAGAATAACAGAAGCAGCACTTCACATGTGAGCCTTCAAGTTAAAGTAGCTCTGTGCATATGAATACAGAACGTCAGCTCAAATGACATAGCACATCAGATTACATAAATTTATCTGATGTGATGGTCATTTATCAGTTTTAAGTAATTTTGTTATATTTTATATTCCCGGTGGAAATAGTATTGTTACTCTAATATTTATATTGACAAGTTAATAAATGAAAAGATTTTAAAGTAAGCAAACTGGATTGCTGAAGTCTAGAGTAATTCTTATATATGTGAAACATTAAGACCCTGCAGATCTCTTTTACCTTGTGAAGTGTCTGTTTTCACAGTGAAGTCATCAGGAGTAAGTACAAAATTCAACCACCAAGTAAAACCTCGTTGCTGTTTCTCTTTCCAGCACTCATCGTAAAACATGTTCTTGGCCACAAAAGGCATTGGATGTCTAGGAATGTCTTTGAAAAAGATTAAAAGTTACATTACATCTCAATTATGGACAACAGATTGGATCCAGAGATCCACCCATGGAAGAAGGTAGGTAGGAGGTGACCAGTGAGGAACCCTGCTCAGTGGGGTAGACTGCGGCGCAGGGGCTGAGATACATTTTCCCAGGGCAGCACAACAGCAATGGAAACATGTATTAATTTGCAGGCTTTTATTCTCTTAATATGCCTATACTCTGAAGTAGTACTGATCAATCTAATTTCAGCTAAAATATAGCAGATGTGTTGAAACTGCCACTTGCACCAAGAGACTTTTCTTTTCATGGAGAATACAGAGCACAAAGAATTTATTTTCACCTGTTTTTAAAGGTTTCACAAACGTCAGCTGAGACTGTGCCACTGGAATAATGTTCTTTGTTTTCCTACCAGTTCTCCATTTTTTAGATAAGGAACCTGAAAATTAGAACAAGAACAAATTGTAATATTGTGAAGAACACAACAGAAAGAGACAACAAGAGGGGGGAAAGAGAATGGCAGAAATATATTACTAGATTCCTCTGGAAGGGGAAGAAACCAAAAAAGAAAGCGGTGGATTTTCCTTGCCGGATTTAGTATTATGAGACATCCTGTTTATGCGGGTTAAAAGAATGGATATTATTTAAAAATATTGATGGTTTATTAGACCTATTTGGCTGGCATGCATATCTGTGGTACAAGAAGGTTAAAGTTTATAAAGCTTTTTTGAACCATGTAGTAAGCAAAGCGTATGGGAAAAATATAAAAAAATCATTAGAACAAAAAACACCATGGTGGCTTTCACCACTGGAGGCGATGTCTGTAAAAAAATTAACATGAGAAATGATTGGGTATCTTATAAATAATTATTAATGGAAATAGATCGTGAGTTGAAATTAAAGAGGTTTGAAGAGGATTATTAACTGATTGGTTACAATACCATCAACTTAATGATATATTTAAGATGGATAAAAGGAAAGGTTTCTTTAATGAAACCTCTAAATTTGAAAAGGAGCTGTTAGAAAATAAGACTAAATTACTTTCAAAAATGTAAAAATTATTCTTAGAATGGTATACAAAAGACAAACAGGTCAAATCAATGATGATACAGTGGGCGAGAGATTTTGAATATAACATACAATTGGCAGAATGGGAGAGGTTATGGAATCAGGATTTAAAGTTCACAGCATGCTATACTTTGAAATAAAATTATATGAAAATTATGTACCGTTGGTATTTAACCTCTAGTAAATTAGCTAAAATGAACAAAGCAAGATCAAATGAATGCTGGAAATGTAAAGAGAAAGAGGGCACCTTATATGTGGTAGACTTCTAAAGTAGTAAAAGAATTTTGGGAGATGATATATAATGAATTGAAAAAAAATGTTTAAAATAAGCTTTCCTAAGAAACCAGAAGCTTTTCTCTTAGGAATTCTAGGTGCCAAAATTCCAAGGGACTAGAAGAGACTATTTATATATGTGACTACTGCTGCCCAGACAATATTAGCCCAGAGATGGAAAGAAGGCATGGTCCCTACCAGAGAAGAATGAACAGATTAAACTGATGGACTACTCAGAAATGACAAAATTTAGGAATCAAGAACACTAAATGTGGCTTGATCATGTCAAATGCAAGCAATACGCTTTAGGCCTATCAAATGAATGTAATTTGTTCGAAGAGCAGCTATAAATGGTCACAGTTGGTCTTTATCACCAATCCATGGCAAATATTTTATTTAACATATCCAAATAAACGAAAGAAAAGGTTAAATTACCTGGTTTCTTTTTCTGACTTTGCTTCTCTCCGGCCACACATTTTGGATTCGATGCTTTCAAAGCACTACAATCTTCATTTTCCACAAAGGACATCATTTTTTTTCTTGCAAAGTTCTCCACATATTTACCACTTTCGCTATTAGTATCTTCTAAATATTCTCCACTTTTTCTTTTATGACTATGTGACGTTCTTCCTAAGCAGGCTGGAGCTGTTTCAGTTTTGTGATCTGTAACGTCACCTGAGAGAGGTTCTATAACTGGAAGTTCTGGCAACATTTTCATTTTTGCTGTTTCAGGAACATTATCCACAGATCTCTGAATTACATTAGAAAGGCATTTTCTAGATTTTGGTTTTAGTGAGTTCCTTCCTTGTCCCTCAGGACCTGACTTACTTTTAGTAACTGTGTTGCACAACAGAGGCCTTTTTTTACCATGTTCTTTCTGGAAGGAGCAAATTTGATCTGGGCCATTTTTCTTGCACCCACTTGCATTTCGTTCAAACTTTTCAAACTGAAATGCTGCATTTTTTTTACTGTGTGCATCATTAAGTTGCTTGCTTGAAAAATGAGACTCCACAGGAAAAGTAAAAATTGCATTCTTTCCTTCTGTTGTGAACAAATTGTGTAAGATCCCAAACTTGAAGAATGGGACACCGATTTATGTACTTGTGAAGTTGGCTGAATAACTATTTGATTCTCTTTTAAAAACTGATCAGGTGAAAGAACTGGCACTCTTGTAGCTATAGAAGGCTCTTCACAAAGTTCATAGCTATCATGTACAAAAGAATCAGGGCTTAAAATTTTCCTGTGATTCAAAGGAAAGCTTTTCAGATTTTCTGGTGTGCAAACTGAATCTGTACTAGAACTTTCCACTTTCACTGAACTAATACGTCCACTTTCCAATTTGGTTTCCACAAGATTGTCACACTTTGGCATAACAGTACAGGTCTGTTTTGTATCCTGCTGTAATTCATTAAATGCTACTGTACCAGTAACAAAATATGGAATTGATCTCCCCATTGAAAGAGGGGGATTAGTGACACGCTGCTTTTCTTGTAGTATGGGATCAGTTGGAGAGTGTAAGAAGCTATTTTCTAAGAGGATTACACTGTTCCCACTAGGTGAAATGCTGCATCCATTCACTTCCAAGTTCTCACAGGCTTGGAGAGGGCTTCTAACTCTTCCAGGTTTTTTGGACATGTGAAAAGTTTCATTTATATTTTTGATTATGGGAAGTTTCTTCTGATATTGTGATTGCCGTGAAGGAGCTCTCTTTTTAACTGTATCCCAAAGACTCTTCTGAAAATGACACCAACACAAATATCCAGTTATTAATGTGCATATATTGAGAGACCTTATCAGCTACGTAGCCCTTCCTCTTCCTCACTGTATAAATAATAATGCTGCTCATAGCCTACTTAATGCTGAGAACTACAGGCGTCCCCCCACTTACGCAATGTTCCAGGGACCTGCACACATAAGGAAAATTGCATTATGTGAGCAGCACCCTCTAAAAGCCTCTTAATGCTCATTTCTTCCCTCCTCTCCAGCTGTCTGTCCAGACAACTCTCTCTTCAACTAGAGTTGAAACTCTGGGGCTGGCTGATGGATGTGTGGAAAAGTGGCTGCTGTTGATGCACTATCACACATATCAGCTGCTAGTTGGGGAGGCTGAGCAGCCGAAGAAAAGTGCCACTGCGCCTCCGGTCCCTTTGGAGCTTCTTCCTCCCTCACTGTAGTCCTCTTCAGCTCCTTGGAAGCCATAAGGACTCTCCAGCTCTCTCCCGCCATTTCCTGGTTTGAATCTACTGTGGTACCTCTGTTTACAGACACCATCCATTCCGTATGCCTGGCTGTATCCCAAAAAGTCTGTAACCGAAGGCGCCCTTCTGCGCACGCATGTGAGCCATTGAGCACTTCTCCACACGCAGCAAAACCCAGGGTATACACTTCCAGGGTTGCCACGTTCGCAACCCGAAGATTACGCATCCAGAGGGATACGTAACCCAAGGTACTGTATTTATTTAATTCCCAGCGCCACGCATGCGTAGTTGCACGCATGTCAATCGCATGTAAGTGGAGGGGCGCCTGTACTATTTTTTCCAGCAAGTATCAGTAGTGACACAACTTTGCAAAGTAAAAGGAAATAAGAAACCATGAAGAGTCCATGTATTGTCATTTTAAAAAATACTCAGAATTCATACAGGTAGCATCGCTGCATATTTGTTCACACTGGGCATTTTTAATGGTGTAAATTTCAGAACATCTGGCAATGCTAGGGATGGTTAAAATAAACCAAGGAAGGTATACCAAGAATTAAGCAAGGGACAGTGAAAGAGACCTAGGGAGGCTTTCCAAAACCTTGTACTTACAGATCTATTACCTATGGAAACCCCTGACAATACCACATCAGAAAGTTTAGCTTCTGCAACTTCAACATTCACTGCACAAGATATCCTACCAGCAGTTTACAAAGAGGCATTTTCAATATACTACAGCACTTGTATAACTGGATGGTCACTTCGGAAAGTATTTTTTTATGCATATATACATTCCATACCTTTTTCTTTGTAGACTGCTCAGCAGAACCCAGCAAAACTGCTTGATGTTTAACAACATCATTTACAACAAATGTTATGAGCTCCCGCACTTTGCCACCTTCCAGTGGTGTCCATGTTACTGAAATTAATATTCTCTCTCCAGACTGCAAAAGAAAAGCATGAAACATAGAAAGATGGTATACTGTATTTCCTTTGACAGGCAACTTGTAGGACTTCTCAATTTACAATCTCTTTGCATTTCTGTGTATGCCACAAATGATGTCTAAATATTTTTGGCTAGATTGCATCCCCTCATCAAATAACTTATGAGCCATATATGAATATGGTTAGTATTTTGCAGGAGTGCAATGCTTCACCTACAAAGATACAAAGGCTACAGTGGGCAGAAAAAGAATAGCATAGAAAAGAAGTTGATACAATATTAGCCAGTAACCTATTCACAATACCAGGTTTAGGACCTCACCTTGAATCAGAAAAAGACCAGTTAAACCACAGCACAACTCTTCAGTCAATGCAGAAACGCACAAGAAAAATGGTACACTAGAGATCTCATATCCCCAGGCCTCTCCTTCACAGAACACTTATCTATGTGGACCCCAAACATTAGAAATTGAAAGCTTAAACCACCCATCCCAAATCAGGCAAGGTAGACAGACTTTTTTCCATTTTCCTAATAAGTGGTTTACCTAGTTATGCTATAAAATCCTCTAGCAAACTCTCCTAAAATCTATTGGGCACATTCCTTATGGCTAAAGATACTCTGCAAATATGTAGTCACACTATAAAGATATATGCATTACCCTATTTCATGCAATATTCTATTGTACATCATCATTGGTAAGAACTGCTGATAAATCTTCTGTGAATATCCTAGTATTCTCTTTTGATTCAACATACATTTGTCACCTTGAGTAAAGTTTTGTCTGTAGAAACAATTGATTGTTGTTACACACTACTACTATTACTACTCTGCAGTGAAAAGTTCCAGGGTGTTACAAATGTATACAGGGCCGGATTTAGGTCTGATGAGGCCCTTAGCTACTCAAGGTAATGGGGTCCCTTTATATGTCCAGCTGTCCTTTGTCAACAACAAATTGTTGCTTTTTTGTGTGTTGAATATATGCTATATGGTAATTTATGGACCTAATAGGTATCTAAAGCCATTTGCACATAACAAAATAGGAGCCTATACAACACAAAACACTGTTGCTGTATGTAGGTTTTATTCTATTTTTTATCTTATATTTTGGAAATGTACATTCAGTTTTCTTTTCCTTTAATTTTTTTTAGGGGCCCCCCAAGAGAGTGGAGCCCCAAGCTGTAGCTTGTTTAGCTTATATGTAAATCCGGCACTGAGTGTGTACCTGGACTCACATGTGCACAGTCAGCATTCATACATGTTCGTATACACACAGCTGACAGGTTTAGGATCTCTTCACTTAAAATCATATGCAAAGTTACACACCCACACAAATATATATATGTGTGTGTATTTATATGTATATGTGTGTGTGTATATATGTGTGTGTGTGTATATATATATATATGTGTGTGTTATATGTGTATATATATGTGTGTGTGTATACATATATATATGTATGTATGTATATATATATATATATATATATATATATACACATATATATATGTATGTATGTATATATATATATATATATATGTATATGTATATATATGCAAGCATATGCAAAGTTACACAAACACACATACATCTTACACACGCAGAGCTCCGTCCCTACTTTAACCCTTCCTTAGCAGGGACAGCGCATCCGACAGGCCAGCAACAGGCCCGAGCAGGGACGCCCCCTCGCCCCCTTCCTTGATCAGTCCCCCCGCCGCCGCTCTCCTCACCTGCAGCAGCCAGTGGCGCGGCTCCTGCACGGCGAAGCCCTTGGCGGCGGGCGGGGGTCTCCCGACGACCACGCGGACGGGCTCGGCGTTCGGGTTCTCGAGCGCCAGGCGTCGGAGGCGCGACGTGCCCACGCGGACGGCGCCGAAGCTGAGCAAGGGCGCCGGCGAGAAGGGGACCAGCGTCAGCGCGGCGTCGGCCTCCTCTTCGCCGCCGTCGTCCCCTTCGCCGGCCATAGCCCAGCGCCGCCGCCGCGGGCCGCCTGGACTCGCCCTCCGGAGCCCCGTCGCTCCCCCGTCCTGCCTCGAGACGGCCATGGCTCCGTCGACCAAGGTGGGTCCCCGCTTCCTCGTCGCCGCCGGTTCCTTTTTCCCTCAGGAATACGGTCAAGGGCCTCGACAGCAAACCGCCTGTCTCCCCTTCCCCTCCCCCCCTCGCAACCCGACAATAACAATGATCCTCGGCCGTTAGGCGTCCCAACCGCCAGTCCCGAATTTCAAACCCGGCCGCCCCCACCAATCAGGGCGGCGTCCGCGAGAAACGCGAGGCCAATCGCCGCGCGGAACACCCCGCACCCAATCGCCGCGCGCGCCGTTCGGAAAACGCCAGCCAATGGGTTGGGGCCTTCCCTCCGCCCTCTTTGGCCAGAGCGATCGGCGGCGCCCTTCAACCAATGGCGAGCGGGAGTTTTCCTTTAAAACTGACGCATGCGCGGGTGGGAGAGTGGACTCACAATAGGCTTCCGTGAGATCCCTAGCATCGAGTAGGGCAGCGGGGGAAATTATTTTTGTTGTTGTTGTTAATTAATAACTATATACAATTGATTGTACTAATATTATAATATAATAATGTATTAGAATAATATATAATCATTAATTGTATACAATTAATTATAATAATACCATATACGTAGTATAATAATATATAACTATTAAATACTACTAATTATATTATACTATAATATAATATACAATCATTAATTATATACAATTAATCATAATAAATAAATCATAATAAAATGGGACGCGGGTGGCGCTGTGGGTAAAACCTCAGCGCCTAGGACTTGCTGATCGTAAGGTCGGCGGTTCGAATCCCCGCGGCGGGGTGAGCTCCCGTCTTTCGGTCCAGCTCCTGCCCACCTAGCAGTTCGAAAGCACCCCTAAGTGCAAGTAGATAAATAGGGACCGCTTTATAGCGGGAAGGTAAACAGCGTTTCCATGTGCTGCGCTGGTGCTGGCTCGCCAGAGCAGCTTCGTCACGCTGGCCACGTGACCCGGAAGTGTTTCTGGACAGCGCTGGCCCCCGGCCTCTTAAGTGAGATGGGCGCACAACCTTAGAGTCGGACACGACTGGCCCGTACGGGCAGGGGTAACTTTACCTTTTTTAATCATAATAATACCATACTATAGTATAAAAAGGTAAAGGTACCCCTGCCCGTACGGGCCAGTCTTGACAGACTCTGGGGTTGTGCGCCCATCTCACTTAAGAGGCCGGGGGCCAGCGCTGTCCGGAGACACTTTCGGGTCACGTGGCCAGCGTGACAAGCTGCATCTGGCAAGCCAGCGCAGCACACGGAAACGCCGTTTACCTTCCCGCCAGTAAGCGGTCCCTATTTATCTACTTGCACCCGGGGGTGCTTTCGAACTGCTAGGTGGGCAGGCGCTGGGACTGAACAACGGGAGCGCACCCCGCCGCGGGGATTTGAACCGCCGACCTTTCGATCGGCAAGCCCTAGGCGCTGAGGCTTTTACCCACAGCGCCACCCGCGTCCCTATACTATAGTATAATAATATACAATTATCAATATAATTTTTTTGTTGTTAGAACAACCTCCTTTTTGAATCGCTCTTACAAACAAGCTGCTTCAAAATAAGGAAGATGGTTCAAATTCAGCTACAAGTCACAATATGAAAGTTGCAGGTTTGATCCTCTTAATAGCTGCATAATCCTACCTTGCAGATAGATGGTCCTCAGAGTTTCTTATTGGTTGTTGGTCATGTGCATCTCTTTGCCTTGTGGGAGACGATACACCCTCCATAATCTCATTGCCTAAGATCACGTCGTCTGCTACCAGTCAGGAGAAGTGCCTCCCCACCTTTTAACTTTGATCAGTTAGGGTAGCCATATTTCAAAATCTACACATCCATCATGGGTTACCGTACGTCTGGATTCCCCCGGGCATCCATGTTATTTTCACCCAGGCTGTTTCCAACCACTGCATCCCCTTTCTGTCCATTTCTATGAAAACCCCACATTTCACAGTGCCCCAGAAAATGAGCCTTCAGCACCCTAATCCAGGGGGTCGTGATTTCAGCAAGAACCCAACATTGTCCAATGTGGTGAGTGTTGATGATTGTTCACGAGGAACAGTGAGGCCAGAGAAAATGTGGATCATGGGGGGGGGGGAGGCAGCTGCTTGATTCAAGAAGACTTCAGGGACATCGCTTTTGAAGAAAAGAGAGAACCATTTCTCTTTACTTCTGTGCTTTTTCTTATGAAACCAGCTCTAGATCTTTTCTAAATAAATTGAATAAAACCACTTAACCCACTGAAAGATATATTTGAAAAATGAATCACTCCAAAGAGGCTTCAAACACCAACAAAAGCCCCCCTGCAATGTTTGGTGGCAGAAACCCCCAAAAAGGAGCCTTTGGCCCCCTGAGCAATTTTGCCAAAAATATGACGTCATCTGATTTACTCTAAAACAGCGCCAAACACCATCAAAAGGCCCCCTGCAATGTTTGGTGGTGAAAATCCAATGTTTCCCAGCCCCCCACAAAACCAGCCTTCGACGCCCTAGCCCTTGGGGTCATGGTTTCACCGAAAACCCAAGGTCATCCCCTGCATGGCAGCCCTACAATTGTCTTGAAATATTGTACTGTTTGCCTGAAAGGTTCTCCTAATTGTCCTATTGATCAATCCCTAGGAGAACCTATTTTTAATGTTAATGTTCTGCACTTGACCTTGTTAATGGAGAAATCTGAAGGCTCCCTTGTGTTAAGGGAGAAAAGAAATCTGAGGGCTCCCTTGGACAAAAAAACAAGGACACCAGCCAGGAATACTAGAGCAAAACAGCAGCCAGTAGGCTTGGTCTTTATTGAAGACTGTCGCGACAGGACTCCCACCTGCCACAAGGTGAAACAAGATGGAAGCCCCGTACAAAAGCGAACCCAAACTTTTATTAGCTCCTAATCCCCATGTTACACCCCCCCCAAACTACATCACTAATACATCATGGTTACATCATGAAAGGGGAGGTCTGGTGGCAGTAATCTGAGCATCCTGGACCCTGCCCCATGCTTTCCCTTGCCCTCCACCAAACATCTGTCAAGTGAAACAGAAGAGATATTTACATTTCCCTGTTTCCCAGCCAAGTTAATCACACCCTTTTGTCTTCATCTGGGTTTCTTATTTCTGGAATGGCTACCTGTCTGGCACTCAGGTATCAGGATGCCAGGGATTATATCACTCAGGCAGAGGGGCTGCTGAGTAGCTGAGCTCACATGTCTATATGAATTTCTCAAGTTTTCCCAGTGAGCCAGTACAGATACATTTATCAGTGAATTGTTACATTTGGTATTGTGCAGTAGAGGCCCTTTGAATAGGTAGGAAGAAACTGTGAAGTGATTGCACTGATTTTGGTAGTGGGGTGCATGTGCATTATATCTGCTGGAGGGGCAAACCCCCCCCCCAACCTATTGGGAGCCCAGGATCCAATGAATGGTCATAACCCTTGCAAAGCTTACTGACTCCACATCTGGCCAGTGGAAAATGAGGCCACAGGTCTTTTTTGAAGGGAAAAAGGGCCATTCAGTTGAATTAAGAATCGCAGACCCACAAAGAAAAAGGCACCTTTAAAAAAAACCATAGGCTTTTTTATTAGGAATTGTAGGTGCTGAAATTCCAAGGGAGCAGAAAAGTCTTTTTATGTATGCGACGGCAGCTGCACAGGAGTTGTTAGCCCAGAGATGGAAGGAAGATAAAGTTTCTACCAGAGAAGAATGACAAATCAAGTTGATGGGCTATGATGAAATTGCAAAACTGGCCGGAAAGCTCAGAAACCAGGAACACCAAAACTTTAATAATGAATGGGAATTTTAAAAAATAATTTACCTTGAAGACCACTGTAAGCGGTTGAAAACATTAGCAGGACTGTGATAACACTTGTAATGTAACAAGAACTATGGACATAATGGAGTTATAAAAATCTTGGATTATTGAAAAAAGATGCAGTAGAAAAGGTTTAACAACAGAACCCAAGGAGGGGAAGGTGGAAAGTAAGTCCAGAGATTTGGGGGAATCTTTTAACTGTGGATATATTGTGGTGTGATGCTAATCTTAAAGATGTAAAAACCAAATAAAAAATATTTTACAGAAGAATCGCAGACCCATAGACGAGGAGGAAGCATTCAAAGAGGATAAAGCTACAGTGGTACCTTGGTTTTCAAACGTCTCCATTGATAACCATTTCGGTTTACGAACGCCAAACACCTGGAAGTAAATGCTTCTGCTGAGTGCAGGATCCTGAGGCATAGCTGTCGGCTATTGAGTTTTTGCTTTTCGAATGTTTCAGAACTCAAACAGCCTTTCGAAATGGATTATGTTTGAAAACCAAAGTACCATTGTATTTTGCCTTTGTTGTTATCCCACCTGAGACTGAGTGTGAAGGCCACTTTGCATGTCTACAACAGGGCAAACTGGTTCAGCCAACAGGTTGAATCCTTCCCTTCCCCACCTTCAAGGCCAGGGTTCCCAGATAGGTGAAGCTACTCACCCAACATTGTGAGCTGGTTGTCAGGGGTCGCATAGTTCCATGTACTGCACTTTGGGGAGGGGATGGAATGAGGACTAAAGGAGTAAAAAACAAACCATAAGCACGTATTGGATGAAAAGAAACCTACTTCCTTCCTGTCCACTTCAGTAACTTGGACACAAAGTGTTGACATAGTACAGTCGTACCTTGGAAGTCAAATGGAATCTGTTCTGGAAGTCCGTTCAACTTCCAAATCATGGTTTCTGGTTGGCTACAGGAAGCCCCTGAAGCCCCGTCGGACATTTGGCTTCCAAAAGAACATTCAAAAACCGGAACAGTCACTTCTGGGTTTCGATCATTCAGGAGCCAAAATGTTCGAGAACTAGGCTGTTCGAAAACCATGTACGACTGTACATGGATGACAGTGTCCATGCAACTGATGCATTTCCATAATTTGAAAGAGCAGCATCCTTCATCTGAACTCTCAGATCTACAAAGGCTATACTTTTGCAAAAGCATCAACTAGTGTAATATACATAAGCTTGTGCAGCAGCCACCTAGTTGTCCAGAGGCAAAGTTATTTTACTGAGAAAAAATTAAGCACGCTTGGGGCCTGTGTTCGTGGATGGAGGCAAGACGAAAAACTATAACATAAACCCAGAAATAAAACCAGTTA